TGGTGATGTATTTTCTCCATTTTCTCTACTAATAACACCTTTTCCGTTTAGTAGCTGTGATAATGATTGTTTTTAATCGTATCCAAACATAGACTAAACAAATACAACACACTACTGTTAGTGATTAGGTAATACCTTATACAATCAATTTACACACGTTTTAAATACGGTGAAAGCTCAAAATTATTTCGATTTATTAAAATTATAAATGTCACGCCGAACGTATTTATTTAACTATAAATTCTTCAGAAATGTCAACTTATATCATAGTAGCACATTAATATTAAATATTAATTAATTGTAAATTTAAACTGAATACGGAAAATCTAGTAAATTAATTATTCATTCATTAATACGCAGAGTTTCAGGTATAAAATTATAAATTTTAGCCATGATTCTATTTTAACATTTTACGAAAATTACGTTTACCTATTTACTATTAAATAATGCAATATGCAGTGATGATATTTTATATAGTATAACTTTCTTATTTTAAATGAATGTAGGTACTAAAGAAAATTCTTTTGTCACTGTTTTTATAGAATCCCTATAATCACTTAATTAAAACAACAACAAAATTTCTATGTAGTATAGAAATGAATCATGTTCCTAGGATTTTTACAAGGTTGAATTTCTGTATAAAATTAGATTGGGAATAAAGCTAAAGATCATTGAAAATTAACTATTTACTAGAATACATAAAACTGCTAATAAAGCTTTTGGCTTTTTAAAGTATAAATGAAAATATGTCAATATCTTGTTTTTACAAGGATATCAACTTGTAAATAATTTGAGAGAAATGATAATCCGGTAGGAGAAAATAGGATTCATGTAAAAATATTAGATAAGAAATTATTCTAACAATAACATGAATTGACATGGAAACAACATGGCATTAACATGCAAATAACATGTAATTAACACGGAATTAAAATTAGAGAATGGAAAAATCTGGAAATAATTTGGAAATAATATGAAAATAATATATAAACTAGAATGAAGATATAGGTATAATGCTTGAGGCATTATATACTATACCCTTCACAGTTTAACAGGCACCTCTTGACCCCTCATAAAGGGTTCTTTTTTACAAGAAAGAGGAATTAGAACCTCCAGATCTCCTAAACACAAAGTCAAACTTTGCAAGAGAGGTGAAGTACCTAGGTCTCTCCTTTAACAGCAAGTTAACATGGAACTCACTCTTAGAAAACAGAGTCAAAAGATCATACATTGCTTATAAACAATGCCGCCGAACCATGGCGCACCCCGTTGCATGCACTTACACGGTCATCATAAAACCTATGCTAACATACGGTGCAGTTGTCTGGGTACCAAAAATCCAAAAATTGACAACTATCCGTAAAATAGAACATATTCAAAGAACAGCAACCATGAAAACCACACCGACCAGAGCCTCGGAAGTCATTCTCAGTCTCACTCCCCTTGATATTTACATCAAGGAGGTTACTCTACACGGTTGGTACAGAATCTGATGTAGGATCTGGTGAGGCGAGATGTCGCGTTTGGCAGGAGGCGCTCGATATGCTCCCACTGCTTTAAGCGAACATGGACTCCATCTCACCAAGATATATCTTCCATAAGTCATATAAAGTTAAAACAGAACAAATAGAAGAGCCGCAAGTGACAAGTACGACTCACGGTTATAAAATAAAACAAGGTCCAAGATGTGGAATATGCGCCAGATCCTTAAACCTAAACGTAAAATGAGATGCGAGTAATGTGTGTAGTTCAAACCGAACTCACGGAGATTCTCATAGCAGTAAAATAAATCACCAGATACAATAACATTGGAAGAAACATGTTCATTTATACAACAAGCCTTAGTAGCCCTGGACAGACCCTGAATTTATTCAGGGTTAGTACTGGAATGTCACGAAGCTTTGACCGAAGTATCCATCAACAATGTGGTCAACTTAAGATGGATCAAAAGTCACGCCACATCAGAAGGTAACTTACTGATTCACTTGCCAAGAAGGCAGGCAACCAAATACTTTTCGAACCTGGCCCTTCTCTGAGATTGACAACATGGTTAGTAACAGGAATATTCCCTTGCGAAATACAAGAAAAGATGGGATAAAACAAGAAGCTGCACATTTGCCAGGGAACTTTTGGGTTATCCTGACAATACTACAGCAAACAAATACTTGAGAGAACCTGCGCCTGCTCACAGGCATTATGACATTACCAACTACGGAAGCATTTCCATATCATGGGGCTGTTAGAATCTGCACTCTGCAGGGGGTGCGAACAAGAACATAAACATATCCTCTATGATTGCCTGACGCTCTTATTTATTAAAAAGATTTGTGTTCGGCGAGAGTTTGCTAACACCGGCCGATATAAGAGAATCACCTCTTGGCGACGTTGTCAACTACATTAAATCTATAGGCTGGCTTACGAGCTAGGAGGTGCCTATCTACTTAGGAGGATGCACAATGGACCTAGTGAGACCTAAGTGTTGTGGGTTAACCCACCCTTTACACGTTACAGATACAGATACCCCTCATTTTATTCCAATTTTGTTCAAAATCAATAGACTTCATCCCCTTATAATGCTTGATTTTTCCTGAAGAGATTAATTTGATATAATTTTTTATTTTATTTTTGAGATTAAATTTACTTGTAGCAAATGATACTAAATGAAATAAGATGTCAAATCATAAGCAAAATATCGTGACTATAGTACTATTGATTGCCGAAAATTAACTAATTCATATTTTATGCCATATCTTTCTTAATAAGGACTTTCAGAACCATATTTATCTTACATTAATTTTTTTCATCGTTTTTTACATAGAATCATCTCTAAAAATGTATGACTGAAACATCGTGTGAACTATTTGTTCGTAAAAAACTTGCACCGGTCCTGACCGAGCCAATATGAGTTCCGACACACTATTTTCTCCTTATGGTTTAATTTTTGACATATGGAATTGCCTTTCCCTACAATTTCTATGTGCAGAAACTCGAAATTAAATAGAAACAATTTTGCACAAATTGGATAAAGCAACTTTTGAAAAAATGGTCCTCAGTTGGCCCTCAATTGACGAAAAGAGTTTAAATATGAAACAGTTGTAGTAAGTAGTGTCCCAAATACAGATGTACTTTTTTATTTGGGAGGAATTGGAAGTTTCAAAAATGCCATCGTTTGGGATATCAAATGAAAGCTATATGAAGCACAATTTCAAAAATGTATAATATGTACGTTATTTACGAAAAAAACGCTTAATTTTTTGTCCCCCAATTTAACCATAAGTAATATTGAGAAAAATATTAAAAAAAAAATGTTGAGAATAAAATGCTGATTGAACGAAAATTATCAAGATTGCATTCCATTAAAAAAGTTTTTTCATACAAAAAAAAAAGGTTATAATTGTGTGTGTTTATGTATTTCTGTTTGGTACTGGTTTCAAAACCAACTGGCCAGTCAATCTTTAATTAATTTTAATAAAGTTTATTTTGTGTCAGTTCAATTTTAAGTTCTAAATACATTATTAAGAAGTAAGTCTTATAATAAGTTTTTATAGCTCATGTTTTTGCTTGTTTTCGATTTTTTTACCTGTTTTTGTTTTCTGCTTGTTTTTGTTTCTGTTTTTTTTTTTGTTTTTGTTTTTTTTTTTGTTTTTTTGCCAAATCATCTACAATTTCGTTATTTTTAAATCCAATGTGTGATTTTATCCAACATAACATTATATTTTTTCTCTTTTTTTTGCCTCACTATTTAGAGCAATAACTTCATAGATAATATAATTTATTTCGTTGTTAATTGTAATATTTTTTAATTTTTAACAATGCTTTTGCAGTACGTAAAAATTATATAATCTATTTCATTTTGTTCTATAAATATTTTGTAAGCCTCTTTAACTGCTATGAGTTCTGCTGTATAAATTGTCATTATATCGGGTAATCTATTTTGAATTTTAATAGCTTTTTGTGGGTAATATATGGCGTAGGCAACTTTTCCGTCTTTTTTTGAACCATCTGTGTATATCTTTTGGTAATTTGCCCAGTAATTTTCAACATATAATAAATGATCAATTTTTGTCAGGGCGTCAGTTGCTCGAATCTTACTGAAATGACAATTGAACGGTACTAAATAGTCTTCGTAATTTAATTTTAAATAGGACATGAGTTCTTTTGGATTAATTCCGGTAAATATATTTGAATAATCAAGAAAACTTTCTACAAATAATGGCACTTTTTTCTTTTTCCCATATTCATGTGTTAAACAGCTGGTAGTTAATTGTACAATTTTATTTAACAATGTTTTACCACTTACAACTAAAAGGACTATAAATTTAATTCCTAAAAATTGTATGCGTAAAATTAATGAGGGCTCACAAAGTTCTGCTTCCATAACCTTGATAGGTGTGCTAGGCAGATAACCAATGCATAGTCTCAAAGCTTTATTTTTAATTCCTTAAATTTTTTGAATTGTACTGATACTTTGTGTAAGCGCTTGGACTAAATCTTTCAACATAATTTTCAACTCTACTTATCTTAAAACAAGGTAGAAAACACTATTGCGCATGTACGACTTGCACTTGGTTAATTTGGAGGAAATATCAATTATAACTACTGGCTGGTTCTTATCATGTACCATCATTGCTATGTTAGAAAAGAAAAGTCATATTGAAAGTACCCTGTCATATCAAATTTCGTAACAAATTTTCCTTTTTTAGAAAAAGAAAATAATTTTCTTTTTCACTGTACAACTCGAGAATTGCAATAAGCCCTGTAGACTTTTTTCTTCTCAAAATAATTAAATTTACTCTTTTAATAGCCTTCGTATCTGTTACACTTTAAAATGTAGCGATGTTGGCCCATGAAAAAAATGTATTTTACAAACTGGGTTATTTCAAAAAACTGCGACTAGTTTTATATAATAGAAGACAAATTTCTATTTTTCCAAATATTCAACGAAAATTAATTATCAATAACCAATAGAAATAGATTATATATAGAAAATATGTACTTACTAATTAAAGCCACATAACAAGTTAGGAAAACTAGAACCTTCATTTTATATGATCGAATTTCTTTTAAAAATCTATCGCGTTACCAGAGGTAACAAATATCAAAGTTCGATTGAGACTGAAAGTTAACTGGATATCTTGTTCTTATTCGAGGACGTAGAAAGTGCAAGTCGTCAATAAAAGTCGTTGTAATAATTTAAACGAAAGGAGATGGAGATGAAGAAACACGCCAACATATGGGGGCGAGCTGGTAGTACATTAACTAATGCTTTAACTGATAAAAGAATAAAATCTCAAAATCAATATCATATCAAATTTTTATTGTATTATATTAAATACAGGTGAGACTAGTTTTGGCCTCCAAGGGCCATCTTCAGGCGATTAAATAAATCAATTAAAGAATAAAAACTCAATTTATTAAAATTAAAATTAAATAGAGGAGCGACTAGTGTTGGCCTCATTGGGCCATCTACAATAATCCCTAGTTATAATAGGAGAAATAGTTGACAGTATGTATAAAACTATAATGTGGATCCATATTGTAGCGTTACAGTAGTGTAAAATTAAGTGGAAAATTAGATTGGTATTGCCAACTTAACATAGCTTAACAAAAAATATGGGTACAGAAAATTACAATAGTGGTGAGATTAAGCAACCATATATGAATTTAATTTAAATTCGAGAGACGCAAAAATGGTGGTTCCCACCTTATGGAGACTGAGACCCACAAAAGTAACCTCGTACCGTAAAGAAAACGAGAAATGGTTTGACTTGGAACGAAAGACCGAAAGCCGATATTACCGATATTAGTATTAAGACGTTAAATTTTTAGGTTTGTGAAGCATTGGCATTACTTACGTTAAACCATGTGATTATTTTTATAAGCCTTGATTTTTAAAACCATTCTTTATCGCCTTTTAATTAGGATTTACGAACTTGTTCGAGCAATTTATCCAATAATAATTGGCCCCTTTACCTCTTAAGCCTGCTCATGTAAAATATTTGGGCTCCTTACTTCGCCTATTTATATAATATAAGGACAGAAGGATGAGTATTGCAACTATGCCAAAAGATATAAATTGGCTTTCAGTTCAGAATTATGTTCAGAACATGGCTGATATTTATTTTTAAAATTAAAAATGACATAGTACCATCAGATCTATTAGAAAAAATTCATAATAATTCGCAATATCACATCTATAATACAAGAAGTCAATTTGACTTTCATCTACGGCAACCCATCACTAAAAGTTCCCAAAATACAATTTTTAATAAAGATTTACAAAAATTTAATAGACTGTATACAGAAATTAAAAACAAAATAAACAACAATAAATGTATTCAAAAGTAACCTCAAGCAATACTTAAAAAATAAACAGAATGAATATAATTTCTTGTGATAATACTCCTTAAACCTGCCCTTTTTAAGTATTTCGCTTAATTTATTGTTATTTTACCCCTCATTTTACCGCAATGTGCTAACTTTATTAGCTCGAATACATCATTGTGTTATTTTGGAATAATGGTGCGTGTGGTATATTCATTTAATAAAATTTTATTCAAAATTGTTTTGAAAACCTATTAGGAATCTAAATATTAGTATGTTACTTTGCTTTTTGTACACTCTGTATATATATAAATTTCGACTTATACCTTAACATTTCAAATTTCTTAATGTTTCTTAATTAAAAAAAAATGTTTAGATAGCATGGCCATAGTATTTAAATTTATTACCTATTACTTGCCTATTTATTTACTACTATAATTTTTAAATGGTTAAATTATTTATCTGGGTTAAAAATGACTTTTTCCTACGACCACTTAGGAAAGTGACACATATCACACTATATAGTCCTATGCAAAGTGCCCTATATCACACGCGTATGAATATGAATTTACTTTCCACCCGTGTGCGAATATGCTACTTTCCGCATCAGCTGTCACAAAATGTCAAACGCATCATTTCTATTTTGATCTAAGTAATGTCCATATTAATACTAAAATCGATATGATTGTTAAATTATTGAAATTGTTTGTAAATTAGATCCTAGATATTTATCTTCAACAATTATTATTAAAATAATTTTAAAATAACTAAGTTATGTTTGCTTTTCATTCTGGTTAAACACATAACCGATTAGATCATTCAATTGACGCAAGGCCTATTATTTCAGGTGGTAGAGTATCAAACTTTATCAACTTTGCCATTTGAGACCTGGCGAGCGACCGATCGCCTTCAAATCCTTGCGGAAGCAGAATTTTTTTTTGTTTTTTTTATTTATTTTTTTTTAGTATTTTGTTTTTTTTTTTTTGTTTAGGAAATATGAAAATTAAATAAATACGATTATTGTTGATTATTTTTTTAAATACATTTTAATTATAATAATAACCTGGTTTTACATTTTTTGATGAAATTATTTTGTGGTCGTAGGAAAATATTGTACATCACTCGTGTGAAAAATGTCACTTTCCACACTCGTAATGTAATATAATATAATTATTTTGGCTGACTCTCTTAAGTAAATAAGTCGTCTTTTAATTAAATCTAATTTAGTCTATCTAGTCATATTTGTACGCAACTCAACCACGATTATCTAAAAGAAAATACTCTAAGGAAAATATACGGAAATACCATTTCAATTCTTTTTAAATTAGTCCACAAGATTTAGAAACGGAAAAATATTTTTGTAAATTGAAAATGTTTTAAAAGAATTCCAAGGCCAGTAACTCGAATTCCTGTGAAGATCATTTACATTTAAATTCAAGTTGAATATTTTTAGGGTTCTGAGAAAAACAACATTGTAGGATTTCAACTAATTTTGAATTTATAAGACAGTTTTTATCTTGGATTCAGATTTTAAAATCGTCTTGACCAAAAAACCGGAGCCCAATACTGCCGTCTCCAGAAAACATGATTTCGAGAACATACGGGGAAATAATTGTCTATGATAAATTTAGGAAAAATAAGCAAATATGTTTTTTTTTGGAAATACGGGTAATTTTCATATAGGACGACAGATATAGCCTTTGGTAATGACTCAAAATTTCTTTAAAAAATCTGATGTGTCCAACACATGACTTTCCTATCTAGGTATTACAGGCTTTTTCCGGTTATTTTGTACAATCTATTGCAGCATCTCTATAAATGTTTAGAGGATAAACTAAATATATACATTGTCCACATACATCTACCGCGAAACATTTTTCTATAGATATTCATTGAAAATGAAAATACTGAAAAATTTAAATTTAGCACTTTTCCTACAATTTTTCTATTACGGTCCATTTTAAAAAAATCATGTATAAACAAATATTATAGAGATCGATATCGCAAACAACTTTTATTTCAACAATTTTCATAAAAATCAGAATTTTGCACATTTTGTCAAATTTTTCGAATACGGACCATTTCAGGAAATTTTTACATAAAGCAAAAATTATAGATAATAATATTAGAAGTAACTTTTATTTGAACAATTTTTTTCTTCAAACATAAATAACAGATATATTCCATAAAATATAAAAACGGCCTCCCATAAAGTACCCCCCCAGATGTTCCGACTTTGTCCAAAATCTAATCATTTCACGTCAGGCCGAAATAAAACTTAAGTTTAAAATTTAATGTTTTTTTCTTTATCCATTTTTGAGTTTTCTTCAAATTTCAAAATTTACACATTTTCTCAAATATCTCGAATACGGTCCATTTTAGAGAAATTATCTATAGGATAAAAATTATAGAGAATTATATTACAAACAACTTTTGTTTGAACAATTTTTATAAAAAAAAATATTTTTTTACATTTTGACAAATTTCGCGAATACGGACCATTTTAGGAAAATTTTGTATATAACAAAAATTATAGATAATAAAATAAGAAGTAACTTTCATTTGAAGAATTTTCTTCCCCAAACGTAAATAACAGATATATTCCATAAAATATAAAAATGACCACCTATAAAGTACCCCCCCAGATGTTCCGACTCTGCCCAAAATCTAATCAGCTCATTAGACGTTGGAACAAAGCTTAAGTTTGAAATTTGGTGTTTTTCCGTGTATCGGTTCATGAGTTATGCGTTATACAGACACACACACACACACACACAGACACACACACACACACACACACACACACACACACACACACACACACACACACACACACACACACACACAGACACACACACACACACACACACACAGACATCATCGCGAAAATAGTCAAAACGGATTCAGGGGACCTCAAAACGTAAAAATCCGTCGAAAACTCGAGGTCGAAAAAAATCATGATTCCTATACTTTCCTTATATCTGTATACAGATAGGAAAGTAAAAAAAATCTGATGTGTCCAACACATGACTTTCCTATCTAGTTATTATAGGCATTTTCCGGTTATTTTGTACAACCTATTGCAGCATCTCTATAAATGTTTAGAGGATAAACTAAATATATACATTTTACACATACATCTACCTCGAAACATTTTTCTATAGATATTCATTGAAAACGAAAATACAGAAAAATTTAAATTTAGCACTTTTCCATTACGGTCCATTTTAGAAAAATCATGTATAAACAAAAATTATAGAAATCGATATCGCAAACAACTTTTAGTTCAACAATTTTCATAAAAATCAGAATTTTGTACATTTTGTCAAATTTCTCGAATACGGACCATTTCAGGAAATTTTGACATAAAACAAAAATTATAGATAATAATATTAGAAGTAACTTTTATTTGAACAATTTTCTTCTCCAAACATAAATAACAGATATATTCCATAAAATATAAAAACGGCCTCCCATAAAGTACCCCCCCAGATGTTCCGACTTTGTCCAAAATCTAATCATTTCACGTCAGGCCGAAATAAACCTTAAGTTTAAAATTTAATGTTTTTTCCTTTATCCGTTTTTGAGTTTTCTTCAAATTTCGAAATTTACAAAATTACAAATACAAATACAAATATTTCGAATACGGTCCATTTTAGAGAAATTATGTATAGGACAAAAATTATAGAGAATTATATTACAAACAACTTTTATTTGAACAATTTTTATAAAAAATTATGTTTTTTACATTTTGTCAAATTTCTCGAATACGGACCATTTTAGGAAAATTTTGCATAAAACAAAAATTATAGATAATTATATTAGAAGTAACTTTTATTTGAA